ACGGCACTTAACAACAGCAACAACATGCTGAAAAAGGACCTTAAAAATAAATAAATAAATAAAATACATATTCCTTTTCTGCTTTGTCTCTAAAAGTAGTAGTTGCTACTGCATTGACTCCAGTTCATGGCAACCCCATGTGTATCAGACTAGAGCTGTGCTCCACAGGGTTTTCAATGTTTCCAGGACTCTTTAGTGGCCTCTGAGTATACTTGAACCTCCAACCTTTCAAATATCAGCCAAATGTGTTAACCATTTGCACCACCCAGGTGGTGCAAATGGTCCCCTCTTTGTGAAGGGACATATATTTAGTCAATTTATACTACAGGCAACAATGACACTCTTAGAAAAATCTTTCTTTGCCGCCTAATTTTAAGTCTCTCTTCTTCCCACAGGAAAAAGAAAAAAAAAGCCCATTGCCATGGAGTCTATTTGAAATCATGGCATCTCCATGTGTCTCCTAGTTACTAGTTGGGTGATATTTGGCAATCTATGTCATAGCTCCTGGCCTTAATTTTCACATCTGACTGCAGGGAAGACTAAAAGTGAATTGCTCGGCCTATAAACAAAGACCCTTAAAGAGACATACAAATGTTAATTAAAAAACCCACAGGCATTGTGGTATAACTTGTTATACAATAGTTTGTATAACAAGTTGCAATGAGTATCTTTCTGGCAAGACTATAAGACTAGTTAATTTCCCTGGAAGACAGGAGATGTTGGGCCTCAAGGCAAGGCAGAAGAAAAACCTTACAAAGCAGAGCATTCAGGAACCTTCAGTAATAAGTTTAAATGCTCTTAAAGTGTCTACAAAATGCATTCTAAGAAAATGCATTCTAAGACAGCATCCTACAATTCAGCCAGCCTCAGGAAAAGTCTAAAAGTCTAGGGCTTTTTTGCCTCTACCTAAACACACCCATGGGAGCTCTGGTAGCATAGTGGCTAAGGCACTTGACTGCTAACCAGAAGGCTGGCGGTTCAAACCCACCAGCCACTCCTCGGAAGGAAGGTTGGGCAATCCTACTTCCGTAGTGATACTGCCTTGGAAACCCAAGGAGGGGTCGCTATGAGTCGGGGCGACTCGACAGCAAACAACAACAACAAACACACCCATTACCTGGGGAAGTAGGGTGGAGGTCAGCTTAGAGAGTAGAAGCAAATCTGAAGAATGGTGACCTGTTTGAATAAGACACTTTTTAAAATGACACACTGTCTTTCAGAGGAGGAATAGAAACAGGTGTACAGTCATGGCCCCAGGCCTGTGTTCTTAAGTAAACTATCTTGATCTTACAAAAAAAAAAAGACAAAGTGAACAGTAGAAAAGGTTGAAAATAAAATATGAAAGAGAGCTTCTGCTAGCACAACACTATATCCCTTCAGGCAATTGAGTGCCCAGCCAATAACATGATGACACAGGAGAATGAACTAAGCTTTCTAGAATCCAAGAGCCTAAGTACAACATACTTGACCGGGTGGGGGTAGTTGATAATGGGTCTTTAAGACATGAGAATACTTAAAAAGAGAGGGGGAGGCTGAGAGAAAGGTCAGGAAATGCACATATACTTTAAACAAATGAAGCTAAACTACCACCCATGATAACTAAAAAAGATATTTCATAGAGAAAACAGAATATAGGTCTTCTTCCATATCTGCAGGGGATTGGTTCTCTTATCCACAAAAGTCAAAAAACCAAACTCAGTGAGTGGATTGGACTCATAGCAACCCCTCCTTGGGTTTCTGAGGCAGTATCTCTATGGAAATAAATTGCCCACTCTTCCTTCCAAGGAGCGGCTGGTGGGTTTGAACCGCCAGCCTTTGGGTTAGCAGTTAAATGGCTTAGGCACTGCGAGTATTTGCATATAACCTACATCTGTCCTCCCATATGTTTTAGATCATCTCTAGAATACCTATAATATAAAATGAATGCTATGTAAATAGCACTTTATGCTCCCTCTTAGCCTTTGAGAGATTGTTTTGACCACATAATTGGTTTTTTGTTGTTGTTGTTATTTGTTCTTCTCTTCTCAGTATATTTTTGATCTGAGGTTGTTTGAATATGGGGATGAGGAACCCACAGATATGGAGGGCAGAGTACAATGAATATGTTTTCCAGCTAAAAATCATGATCCCCAAGTAGTTGATATAATTTTCATATAATTAAATTACTTCCAGTATGTGTTAACTAATTCTGTTTATAAGGTATATTTGATCTCAAAAGCTTAAAATATAAACATATTTGCTCAGGTCTGATGAAGCAGATAGTTCTAGAAAGGAAAAATGAAGTAGAGGAGAGGATCTTTAGCTGGGGTCCATAGTCTCTTAAGAAAGTGTATTAACAAGATTGACAGATAAAAATAGTGTTCAGTGAAATTTGAATTTCAGATAAACAAAAAGATCAAAACCTTTAAACAGAACCACTGGATAAAGTCCCTGGTTCTTAGGTTGCTTTTTAAAGTTTAGGTATGTTTCAAATGTTGTGTGGCAGCTCTGTTTAGTAAAAATTTCAGAATATCTATTATAAATATTTGGTGTATATATGCATCTTGACAAAGAAGTTAGCTACAGCTTTCAACAAGAATCTTAAACTTCCAATCTCCCAGAAGTTAAACATTTATGCATTAAATGAGATAAGTGAATCAAGCCCTGACATTTTCCTTCGACTTGAGCTTCCTAGTGGCCAGAACTGAAGAGAAACACGAAGAACAATTTACCAAATAGCAACTGGGGAGAAAAGTCCAGGGGTGAAAGAAGAGAATTGTGCCTAGACAGAAAGCTGGTTCACAGGGCCAAGATGACTTACATGGAGTCCCTTGGTGGTTAAGGTGCTTGGCTGCTAACCAAAAGGTTATAGGTTCAAGTCCACCCAGAAGCACCTTGGAAGAAAGGCCTGGCAATCTACTTCTGAAAAACTGACCACTGAAAATCCTATGGAGCACAGTTCTACTCTGATGCCCATGGGGTGACCAGGAATCAGAATTGGTTACAGGACACCTGGTGAGCAGACTTACATAGAGCCTGAGCCCTGTGATTCTCTTAAAAGGTCAGGTTTGCACTAAAAAAAAAAAAAAAAATATTTCTCACTGTTTTTATGAAAATTGGATCATAGAGGGGCTGGTGTGGAAGGGAGTGAACAGACTGGAGAATTCCGTACAAGGTGGAGATTTGGAGGGAGGAGCAGACAGGGCTGTTGGGAATAAGTTCTTCAAGGGTTAGGGGTTTTTTCACCTCAACTTTTATGTCTTTTGTAATCACAACACCAGGATGTTTGGTGAAATTGCTGCTCTGCCACCCTGTGCTCAGCAGGAAGTCCCTTTCCTGAGTCTGCTGGGTGTCATAGGGGGACGCCGCACAGTCTGTACCTGCGTCACTGGAAGTAGACGCGCAGTGCTGCCGCTTCTGCTGCCATTTCCTCCTCTGATCTCCAGGAGGCCGGGGAGTCCTCTTCTTTGTCATGTTTCTGGAGCTATGGAGGAAAAAAAAAATGTGCAACACGTTTATTAATGAGTCCTTGAGATCTACTCGAACAAGTGTTGTGGAGGGAATACTGAGCACAGTTCACTTATTAGAAGTTTGCAGGTCTGTGTGACTTTATGTGGTGGTGTCGAGTCAGTTCTGACTCATAGCGACCATATGTGCAACGTAATGCAACATTGCCTGGATGAGTGGTCAAAATTTTAAATTAAACAGCTTTCACGTAAGAATCCATAACTCTAGCTCCTGTAATACAATAACCAGAGTGGCTGTACTGTGGCCATTCACCGTCTTATAATTGTCTGCTGCAGAGTGGCTTCCTAGATGTTTTTCAGGGGGATGTTCTGCTATTTGCCATGATGTCCTCCGTTCTCTAGTGTTCTTATGCCAGGTAAGCCTCATTCCTTTGTTGAATTTCCCAGACCCTGAAGGCATTGAATGTGTCTTTTGTGGTGCAACTGCATTCTCGATTATTCCTCCAGCCTGGCCTGTGCTCCCCCTACTGCCCTCGGTGCCTTAGCTGCTCTTCTCTGAGCTCAGAGTTTCGTTCCGCCAACCAAAACAGCCCTGACTTATGATAATAATACAAGCACCACGAGTACTGAGAAAGAGTAGTACACCCACTAGAAGACGCTTCAAGCAGGCAAACGGTGAAAAAATTAAATGGAGAAAAAAACTTATAAAAAAAACTAGCAATTGGTCGTAGTCAATTGAATCATTTAAAAATCCTCTTCAGACACCCATATTTATTAAGAAAACACCTTGCATATATCTTGATTTACATATAGAGCGAGTAACATTTCAATCCTATCAGAGAGGAATAGGATGTTTGCAGAACTCTCTTCATTAAAAGAGCTCAATTTTCCCCTTTAATCTTCTATTGCAATTCATAACTAAATTTGTTATTCCTGTGTGCAGCTTTAACATTGTAAAATGCTTGAGGTATAAGTTCCTCACAAAATGCATTGTGTAGTATTTTGTGTAACTCGTTTCAAAGGATTAAGGCAAAATGTTTTAATAGCATCAATGATAGCTTGTATTTATAATGTAAAGGGCAGATTCTATGACACACATTATATGACACACATTATTTCCTTTACCGTATTTTTCGTAAATAACATTCATATACATATAATGCTCACAGGAAACTAATGCAGAAGAGAGTTGTGTGACTTGCAAAAAAACATATATAATGTACTCACTGAATAAAAATACAGTAATCCTTATAATAGCCCACACCCCACCGCCATCAGTCAATTTTGACTCATAGAAACCCTGTAGAACAGAGTAGAACAGACCCATAGGGTTTCCAAGGCTATAAATCTTTATGGAAACAGTTGGCTTCCTTTCTCTTTCTTCTGCAGAAGGGCTGGTGGATGCTAACTCCCAACTTTTTGGTGAGCAGCCCAACATTTTAACCACAGCACAACCAGAGCTCCTTAATAGCCTATAAGTCAGGTACTATTCACCTTCATTTTATCAATGAAGAAATTGAGGTTTGGGTCCAACAGTTTCATTCACTTGCCCAAGATCACCCAGCTAGATAGTAGTAGTGCCAGGGTTTCATTTTGGCCAGTCCCTGGCAACTTTTGTCTTTTTATCATCTTGGAACATCTATGGTACCATTAAAGAGTAAACATTTCTGGGCACTATTACCCCACTCCACCTGGTATATTTACGCAAAAAGAGCCTTTGAAAAGAATGTTTTCAACTGACCAAAAAGACAATGACCTAAAACCATCAACTTCGATATCTCACTTCCTAAACACTCCTAACCTAACCCAGAGACCTCACCCTGGCAGCTTGCAGCAGATGGAGAAATTTCTCTATTTATTTCAGAACAAACTTTGATACAGAAGGCAAAACAGTGCAAGAACTGGCAAAACAGCCTTGCTCTCCAGCTGAGCGATATTTCCACTCAGGGTGAGTTTGAGCCTAAATGAGGTTCATTAGCATATAGCTGGGCCACAAATACGTTTATGAGGGTCATGGATCTTCCGTTCAGAATTTGGTTGCTAGTATGCTAGTTTTACATTTTGCCACATAGATTTAATTCTCCTTAGTGGAAGAAAACCACATTAGAAAGTCATTTCCTTCCTTGCAAAGGCAGATATGATGGAATTGCTACAGGCAAATCAAACAGGATTGCTATTCTTCTACTCAAGAACTAATTTTCATTTTGGTATTAGTTTTAGGTCTGTCATAAATCCATCTTGTAACAATTCAATAGGATGACAAAGAACAATGCAAAACCCAGGAAATATGGCCTTCCCACTTCTGGTGCTCCCATTGAAAGGCACAGAAATCAAGCATTAAGTGGTCTCATCAACTCAGATCACACCAGATGAATCCAAATAATTTAGAGTCTCCAAATGTTAATGCCTTCTTAGTTATTAGCCAACCGTCTGTTATTGTCATATGCCTCACAGATGGCAACATTGTGCCAACGTTTAAAAGCTGTTTAGGAGAAATAGGAAATAAATAAAACAAAAACTAATCATAGTTGCAAAGCTCTGGTGTATATGGTTTTTAAAACTTAAGAGGGTTCTCACCTAAAAGCCACAGACTGTGTGGCTCTCTTTAGAACAGTGGTGCTCAACCCTGATTGCCCTTTGGAACCACCTAGGAAGCTTTATAAAACACTGATGTCTGGGCCCCTCCCGCAGACAATCTTGATTTAATTGGTCTGGAGGCTGCCTGGGTTTGGGGACTTGTAAAAACTTTTCAGGTGATTCTAAGCCACAGTTACTGTGGAGAAGCAATGCATTTGGGAGAAGTGAATGTTTCTGTGTATAGAGAGAGCCCAAACACCTACAGAACTAACAATTTCACTTTTAAGTCCATTGTTTGCAACCCTAGCAAAAGTATCCAGGCTATCCTTTGCAAACCTTGCTTTTGAAATATTTTTCTTCTGTTTACGCTCCTGTCAAAAGAGTGTTTGGACGACAAGGCTTGTCAGAGCACCTCAAGGATGTTGATCCAGTGCAGGAGTCTTTGAATGTATTTTTAATCCCTGCAGGAATAGGGAGCTCAGTGGAGGCACAGGTGGGCAAGACTTGCATCCTAGAAGAGCTCCCCAGGTGACCTGGAAAATGAACATGCTGCAGTTTGAAGCAGAGCTTGGCTTCCCCCAGGAAATCCAAGAACATAGTGGTCCCTGTGGTTGCCCTGGTCGACAATGAGAAGCCCTAATGATTTTAAACATTGCCTTATCCAAAATGCACTGCTGTTTTGCTCTGGGAAAGCTTTTCGCCAGGAGTTTCACTTCCAATAAACTTTCCAAACTGCCTTAAACCGCCCACAGGGATAGGCAGTGACCATATAGTAACCCAATAGATATTTATTGTGTCCCTGCAGTGCCTTGAGTTTTCCTATAGTCCAGCTTCTCAGATTATTTGCTCAGCATACAGATTGAATAAACACGGTGAAAGGATACAACCCTAACACATGTTTCCTGATTTTAAACCATGCAGTATCCCCTTGCTCTATTCCAACAACTGCATCATGGTCTATGTTCAGGTTGCATATGAGCACAATTGACTGTTCTGGAATTCCCATTCTTTGCAGTTTTGATGACCTGTGATATGCAGATGACACAACCATGTTTGGTGAAAGTGAAGAGGACTTGAAGCACTTACTGATAGACTACAGCCTTCAATATAAGGAAAACTAAAATCCTCACAACTAGACCAATAAGCAGCATCATGATAAATGGAGAAAAGATTGAAATGGTCAAGGATTTTGTTTGACTCTGCTCCACAATCAATGCCGACGGAAGCAGCAATCAAGAAATTAAACAATGTATTGCATTGTCTAAAAGACTTCTTTGAAGTGTTCAGAAGCAAAGATATCACCCTTTGAAGACTAAAGTGCATCTGATGCAATCCATGGTACTTTGTATATGAGCAGCCTCATATACATTTGAGAGCTAGACAATGAATAATGAAGACCAAAGAAGAATTGATTCATTTGAATTATGATCTTAGTGAAGAATATTGAATATATGTGGGGCTGCCAAAACAACAAACAAATCTGCCTTCGAAGAAGTACAGGTGGAATGCTCCTTAGAAGCAAGGATAGCAAGATTTCATATCATGTACTTTGGACATGTTATCTGGAGGGACCAGTCCCTGGAGCAGTTGAGAAAGTAAATAGAAAAGTAGAGAGTCAGCAAAAAAAGATAATGACCCTCAATGAGTTGGATTAACACAGTGCCTACAACAATGGGCTCAAACAGCAAGAATTGTGAGTGTGGTACAGGACTGGATAGTGTTTTGTTCTGTTGACTATAGAGTCACTGTGAGAACAGACTTGACAGCACTGGATCTAGAGCACTAAACAAGAAAGATCCTGTCACAGTCCTCATGGGGCACCAGGTAGGGGGAGTTGTTGTTGTTGTTATATGCCATTGAGTCAGACCTGACTAATAGTGACCCCTCCTTGGGTTTCCGAGGCAGTATCACTACGGAAGTAGGTTGCCCCATCTTCCTTACAAGGAGTGGCTGGTGGGTTTGAACCGCCAGCCTTCTGGTTAGCAGTCAAATGCCTTAGGCACTATGCGACTAGAGCTCCCAGAATAGACACCAAATGGTTTATTACTAGACCCCTTATCCTTACCAAGAGGGAAGGGTATTGGATGAAGTTAATATAGTTTGGAAGTCAATTTAATTTCACTTCATGATAACGCTTTGTTTCTTTGAAAGCACTTACAATGAAGAGTGATGGTGGAGAGGGGAATATCCAAGGCATGTCAAGCAAGGACTCTCTAAGAAGATGAAGTTTAAGGCCAGACTTTAAAAGGCAAGATCATTAATCATTTTATGCCTCAGTTTCCCAGTCTGTAAGATGGGGTTATGAGAGGAGTCTTTGTTGTTGTTGTTGTTATGTGCCGTTGAGTTGCACCTGACTCATAGCGACCCCTCCTTGGGTTTCCGAAGCAGTATCACTACAGAAGTAGATTGCCCAACTCTCCTTCTGAGGAGTGGCTGGTGG